CCTGGTAGCAACTGTATTGCTACTGCAGCCTGGTAGCAACTGTGATGCTACTGCAGCCTGGTAGCAACTGTGTTGCTACTGCAGCCTGGTAGCAACTGTGTTGCTACTGCAGCCTGGTAGCAACTGTATTGCTACTGCAGCCTGATAGCAACTGTATTGCTACTGCAGCCTAGTAGCAACTGTGTTGCTACTGCAGCCTGGTAGCAACTGTATTGCTACTGCAGCCTGGTAGCAACTGTATTGCTACTGCAGCCTAGTAGCAACTGTGTTGCTACTGCAGCCTGGTAGCAACTGTGTTGCTACCAGGCTGTATCTAGTACGGATGTACCGTCATCAACAGTTTAGTCAAAGCCAAGAAAAAGCGTTGAGGAAGATGTTTATCTTCTCCCTGGAAGAACATATATATGTTGTGGAACACGTTTTTGTTGGGAAAAGTTTCGCTCTGCCAAGAGCTTTTATCAAGCCATGAATTAATAAATAACGAAACATCGTCCTAATAAAAACTTATTTTACGGCGTGTCTTTTTTTTTTAAGAGTTGTCGAAGGTACGCCATATGGATCCATTTTCCCTTCCTCTTGCAAACTACATCCTGATAAAAAAAACAGTATGTAGGAGAAACGGGAAGAATATTCAATAAACGTGAGTATAAACATGAAACTGATGTTAGAACGGACAATGAGAGCAGTTCTGTGTTTTGTCGTGTGTGCAGCTGTGACCATAATATAAATTCTGTCTATATCTGAAAACTATGGAATGAGGCGAATTTTAAAATCAAATGAGTTCAAATGCGAAAATTAACTTTGTCAGAAAATAGAACTCTTCCAGAGGCTAATTTAATTTCGCTAAGTCCCTTATGGGTTTAGCATTTAGTTATGATGATGATGATAAAAATAATAATAAATAATTTAAATTCATCCTTTCCGCCCTCACATTAGTGTTAATCTGTAGAAAATGCTACGTTCTGGCCACGCCTTGACAGGTGATGGTCGACTCGTTCCTTGTTTATCAAGCTGAGAGAGAGAACACAACATAGTGCAATTGGATACCTTTAACACTAAGTTAGACAAACACGAGAGTGAGAACTGCTGGGTAAGGGGGAGAAAACCTGCCTAACATGGATTAACAAGCCTACTACAGCCCTATAGACTTACGCTTTTTCTACTTTAGTTTTCAGAGGAAGAATCGAGCCCCTACCGCCCCCTTGCGCTGAATTTCTCACAAGGTTTAAGCGCTGTGTATAAAATATTAAAAAAAAAATAATGCTATAATTTTTTTTTTTTTTTTGGTGGCCGGAAAGAGTGAACGTACTCGCCCAGTGAACTATAACAGTGGACACAAGACCCAGTCAAATGCCCTAACATTTTTATCATTAGACTTGCAAGCTTCATTGTATCCCTCCGATCATTGACTAGAACTCCGGAAATTCTCCGTGACAACTACGATGTTCATCAGTTATGATATCCATGTATAAGCTACCATAATCATACATTGTCTATCAACAGACTGAGGCATTAAATATAACAGTTGCAAATTATCAACGAACACATTACATTACCAGAATAGTACAAAGACGTTACTTTGAGCAATAATATTGAATTCGTAGTCACGTGGAAAGCGTAGTAAGATTAACAGTACCTCTTTACTACAGAGCTAACTCTCTACACCTCTAAAGCAGGTATATATAGAGAGAGCAAGATATATATAGCTTTAGAGCAGGATATACAAATTTAGAGAGTGGGGTATATACACCTAATGGTGTGTAGAGTTTTCATTAATCCTTATCTCTAGGATTAAAATATCAGTATTTTTCTGTAGGTTAATTTTGGCTTAGTGAACCACATGAACTCAACAGATTCTAAACCTAACCTAATGTAAATTTAATCTAACCTGACATAGCCTAATTGAACCTAACTCGATCTAACCTAGCCTAATTGAACCTAACTCGATCTAACCTAGCCTAATTGAACCTAACTCGATCTAACCTAGCCTAATTGAACCTAACTCGATCCAACCTAGCCTAATTTCATATGATCTGACCTAACAAACTAATTAAATGTTGTTCACGCTTTAAGAATGCACACGAGCTCTGTTCAACTGTATTAAATACAATGTGGAGTGATAAAGTATATTGATATTGTTTGTTCTGACCTTAGCGAGACTTTTGTCGCAGTTCCACACGAAAGGTTGACCGTGTATGTTGCAACACTTGGCTCTGAAAGGTAAACACTAAATTCAGCTAAGGTATTGTTACGAGATTTTTTTTTTAATAGCAAAAATTGTGTTAAATGTGAAAGGGAACATGTGGTGTACTCCAGAGAGATATCTTGGGACCTATTTTATTAATATGTCCCGTCGCTCGGTTGGCAACGCTTTCGCCTCACACACTGAGCGCCGTGGTTCAATCCCCGGCATGGGTGGAAACATTGGGCTTGTTTCCGTATACCTGTTGTCCTGGTTCACCTAGCAGTAAGTAGATACCTGGGTGTTAGTCGACTGGTGTGTGTCGCATCCTGGGGGACAAGACTGAAGGACCCCAATGGAAATTAGACAAACAGTCCTCGATGATGCACTGCCTTTCTCAGGTTAACCTGGACGACTAACCTTCCGGGTTAAAAATCCGAACAAAGTTTATCTTATCTTTCCCCTGGACTGTGTTGGGGATATGTGGTGTACCCTATAGCTATGTGTTGGGTTCTTTTATTATTTTTTGTTTCCCCAGGGCTGTGTGCTGGACCACTGATTGTAATATTATTGATAAATGTACATAAATGATCATGATATTGGAGTACTCTGTGAAAAGTAGGTAAATCTGTAGATTATGCTTCAATAGGACAATTTTTCTGTTTTTTTTTTTTTTGTGACACTTGGGTTAGTTTAAGTTGGGTAGTTTTAGGTAATAGTGGTAGAAAAAAGCTTAGGTTGATTTTAGTTAGCTTAAATTATGCTAAATTACGCTAAAATGTAGTGCCACATTTGTAAACAATTCACTACCAGCATAGGCACAGCTGGCTTTTAATTCCATTATTTGAACCTTACCCTTTACATTGCTGGCGTTGGGAAGTGTTGTCTGCTCTAACTTAACTTCAACTTGGCAGAACTTAAAGGTCTTAGTTATGAAAATATCAGATATCGAGGTCAACGTGAGGCGGATCTCCACAATGCTATCTCTTGTAAAACACTACAGCTGTATATATTAAGTCAGACATAATGTAAGCCCCTGCAGGTTTAACCTAGCTGTCTCTAGTAGCATTAGCAACCCCTCTTGATACCTGGTGAGGAGGGTGTGGGTCTGGCTTCACCTTGAAGCAGGGGTAACCATGGGGTTGTGGGTCCTGCCTCTCCTTGATGCAGGGGTAGCCAGGGGAGCTCACTCCGCCCACAAGGTAAGCAACTTTCAGGTGTTCCCGACGCACCCGCCATCACTACGCCGACCACATGACGCTACCGGAAGTCTCACTCGTGAGGCAACACGGCTTTACCTGACGCGGAGTCCGAGAGACGACTGTAGTATAGGTTAAGTATTCCAGGCTTTACCAGCAGCTGATCTAATGAAGAATCACGTGTGCAGCATCTGGGTGTGTTCACTGTAGGTGTTTCGCCATCCAGTGGCTTTATCAATTAAAATTCAAGGAAATAATGGGAAGACTGCAGAACTATATACAAAAGATACCCAGATGTTGCACATGTGTCTAATTCTTCACGTCAGTATTGTATGCCATTTATATACAGTTGATTTAGTGCTTATTAGTGAGGGTGGGTGTAAGTTGAACCTGCCTCGCATGGGCCAGTAGGCCTGCTGCAGTGCTCCTTCTTTCTTATGTTCTCAGTCTTACCAGGGACAAATATATATGTTAATATAACTGATATTCATTGTTAATAGCTTTAGCAGCTGCTATTTAACTTTCACTAGCTGTTAATCAGTTTGTTAACAGTTTTGCCAGATAATTAATGTTAAATTCTGAAGATATGTATCTATTGGCAAGTTCAACATCAATATGGAAAATTAATCTTTAAGTGTTCACTCAAGGTCAAGTGGCTCATGGAAGATAAATAAACTTAAACAGCCACCGGACGCTGTCAAGCTGAGGGCATCTAAGCTTGAGCAAAGACCGGATTACCGTTAAATAAAGAGGTATGTAAGCCAGTTCTCCAGCCATGTGCTGTACTTTCTACAAGAGCGATTGACCACATCAATTCCAGGCTAAGGGACTGATTATCTCAAACTCCTCCTCCCCTTACCCCTCTTTGCTTTATATTGGACTGATGAAGTCACCGTGTGGCGAAACGTTTCATTAATAAAGATTCCCCTATGTTGCATAAATGTCTCAATCTTCAAAGAGGTATAATACTGGAAGAACGAGCTGAGGCCCTTACTGTGAGGATAGTGATCTCAGAACTACAAAACAAGAGCACGGTGAGCTGAGGGCTACAGTACAAGGGCGAGATGACCTATGCAGTCCAGGGAAAGAAAAGTATGTCTATTGCAAAGACTATAGGCTTATAGCAGGCCCCAAAAACGTCATATATAAATGATTCACACCAGGTATAGTCTGGATAACATGGGCATAAGAGGCATAAAAGTACGGGGCAAATTGCAGAAGGGAGATGGGAAGAGATGATGGACTCATTGCAACAAAAATATTAGCATGATTTGTTACCCATACGAAAGCAGGAACTGGGACAAGTCAGCCTTCAACTACACCTACAGATTACACTATTGCTCTCCTGCCATAAAAAAATAATTATTACTAAAGCAGGCTCTGGCATTTCGAGCTAAAAAAATTAATTACAAAGATCGAGTTTACCAGAAATCAATTATTTCCCTAATAATCCATAATTATAAGTAAAACTATCAGTAATAGCATTTTTATTATGAGGCAGCGTCACTGCCTGTGTTTGCCTCGTCTGTAGACGAACCAACCCTCTTGCAACAATATTTATTCAATGGCAACTGCAACAAGGTCGAATGGTGGTGTGAGGTATAAATAGCTGGTGGTGCTGATGACTCGTTTAGTGGAGCAAGAAACATCAAACCAACATGAGGACACTGGTGGGTAGTTCTCTCTCAGAGCAAGTGTATATAGGTGCTAAAGCTAAGTTAAGAGATTTAGTTAACATTCTCGGTATTTGCCACTAAATGCAAGCTTAATATATAGATGTTCCAGGTTTCCAGCCTTTCGCACACTTCAGAGGATACCGCCCAGGAAGTTATGTTTCTGGCTACTCCAGTGTCCTGGATTTAGTATTTACGTAGCCATCTAGGAATTCCTAAGTTGATTATGTTGATGTAAGCAACTCAGTGAGACAGTCATTGCGAAATATTTCACGAGTGACGTGCTGACATTCTCAATTTCTGTGCAGCAATGTAATATATATATATATATATATATATATATATATATATATATATATATATATATATATATATATATATATATATATATATATATATATATATATATATATATAGAACGTAAGATTGCTCTACTTATTGCGTGTTAACTCAGACGTTGTATGGTAAATAACAAACCATCCCTCGAGTGCTAATTATCATTAGTTCATTATTAACCTTGATCCGTGGCAATGAGTATTAGAAACTTATCCTAACGGGGAAGTGTTCCGGTCTCGGTGACCTTACACAAAGGTGGTGGTCATGGGGTCAGATGGGAAGGTCATCATTCAGTTTACATTTCAGTGAAGGTCTGGGCCGTGTGCTGGAGTGACTCCCTTATTCACGTAAACTCAACAACATCTCTGAGCCACACAACACTTAAATGACCATTTGTTAACCTTAAATGTGTATTTCCTGCACTAACTGTGTTGTCATTCAGTGACTACACTATTTTTTTTTTTTTTTTGCTACTTGACTGATGGGTGTATGTCTGCTACTAGCAGTGACAAGTGTTATAGATCTGCTGGAGGGAACAATAAAAAATTAACACCCATGTTATAGTCCTGCTACCAGATGTAACAGCGTTAACATCAACAACAATCTGAGAGAACGAACTAATATTGACTAGAAGTCTGAGTAATGTAAAGGAATTACTTATTGTCTCTATTTTATTAAGTATGCTGCCAGAGTTTGATATATTAAGAAGGGACAGCGTGAGGGAATAGAAGTAAAATTATTTAACTGTTTACACCCAGCACTGTCTGCACGTGAGAATAATAGTGAACACAGTTATGTATATACAACAAGAGCCTTTCCACTCATTTCTATTATATCAAGCATTTTTCTTCATGCAAACATAGATTAGCACAAGACGCTTGTATAACTTGCCGAAGGAATAACACAAAACAAATCGCTTAATCTCTTGCATTCTAAACCTAAAGTCAAGCAGAGGTAACTAACCCTGTCTTTCCACCTGACAGATACTGTTGTGTGTTGTAGCGGCAACTTACGCTCAGTTCGAGAGCGGCTTCGTCAAGATCTTGCAGGACAAGCGATACCAAGACGGCGCCACCTTCGGCAACTTCCGTGACCAAGAAGATGGTATTAAGTACTTCGAAGAGACTGATGCCAACGGTGTCCGACGTGGTTACTGGGAATACCCCTCTGAAGGCGGTCAAGTTCATCGTGTTGAGTTCGAAGGTGAGGTGTTGGTTAACTTGTTGGGTTTAAAATCTAGATTACAAGTGGGTAATTAAGGCTGCAACTCGCCTGTGCACTAACAATCCCTAAAACAATGGTTAAAGTTAACTCTGTATATACTCAGACACTTACTAGTATAAATCTGTGAAGTGTTAATTACTGCCAGTTAGTTTTATTCAGAACCAAAGTCAAGTTGATTTCAGCGATCTTTCGTGTTAGTCAGTTTATTTGGATGTTATGCTTAGCAGCAGGTTCGGTTCGTTCATTACCCTTGTGATTTTTTTTATATAAAAATTGGGCTACTGTCACCAGCAGTTCAGCTAATGAAAGTAACTTGTACATCAAGTGTGAGGACCAGTCATTTGTTGCTAGTTTGCAAAAGAAGCCTTTTACCTCGATTCAATATTTGATAGACTTTTTCAACATTTTTATTTAGCTTTGCGTTGGTCAAGTGTTTCATTATTTTAAGAGCAGCTGTTTACAATGATGGCAAAGATAGTGTCCAGCATGTTACTTTAAGGTGGTTTAGACGTCCACAGTCAAATGCCTCTGCAGAATTCCGGTAATAATTTCAATGCAAATATTTGGTTCCTTACAGCTGGTCAAGGAATTGGATTCAGGATCACCAACTCTAACATTCACGATACTACTCCCGTGGTGAAACCCCTGCCCCAATTCCAGCCCCAGCCCCAGCCCCAGCCCCAGCCCCGGCCCCAGCCCCGGCCACAGTCACAACCACAGCCACAACCCCAGCAACAGTTCCAGCCAGAGCCCCAGCCACAGTTCCAGCCGCAGCCACAGTTCCAGCCGCAGCCACAGTTCCAGCCGCAGCCACAGTTCCAACCCCTACCACAGCCTCACCATAGCCCAAGACCTCACACCACCACTCCCTACCCTGAGCCCCAGAACCTTTTCGATTACCCTGGCAACCTGGAGTTCTCTCGCTCCAGCCAAGGTCACCGCTTCAAGTTCACTGCTGCTTAAATCCTCTATCACCTTACCTCATCCCCGCTCCTCTTTCTCACTCAATCTCTTACATCCTCCAAATGTCTCGTAAGCTCTTAAGTTCCATAAGGGAGCTTTAGTTGTGTTAAACTGCTGAAGAGCTCCGGGCTCTAATCTGCAGCGGGCTTTGATCTGTTTCTTCCAGAGCTTGATTATTTGCTCATATACAGTCTTGTCCCCTCTCTCTCTCTCTCTCTCTCTCTCTCTCTCTCTCTCTCTCTCTCTCTCTCTCTCTCTCTCTCTCTCTCTCTCTCTCTCTCTCTCTCTCTCTCTCTCTCTCTCTCTTTCTCTCTCTTTCTCTTTCTCTCACTGACTCACTGTCTCGTATCAACTCTTCCGCTCTTTCTCTCCCGTCTCACCCTCCGCCTCCCCCTATCTCCCTATCTACTCTTTTTTTTTTTTTCACCTCCCCACTCGCTTCTAATTATTTGCTCGGTCTATATCTGCAGTGACCATTTCTTTATGCCTCTGGCGCGTCTCGCTACCCTGAAGCACCGTGACCGCCTTGCTACCGTCCCGCACCATTCCAGGGGAAAGATCTACGCTCAGTCGAAGTCTAACCCTTGAGGTCCCTTGCTCCACTTGAGGCTCCACACTCGACGTGAAATTGTGGCAACGTCTTGCAGATCGTTATCGGCGTCTTGGAACCGACCTGCCGAGTGTTCTAGTGATATCTAGTCCATTGAGAAGCAAATCACTGACGCCCAAGAAACATTCTCAAGATGCTTTACATGGTATTAGTGATAGGAATTTTTTATAGTGTCAGTCTAAAACCAAACAAAAAAAGAGATTTATGGATTTATCATTCCTAATCTGTCATTTCTTTCATGATTTCGTGGAACGCGTCAAACGTTCGTAATTAGATGAATGCGCGTCTTTGCTCTCAAGACGACGGCTTACTTCCTTTTTTTTTCTCTCTCTCTCTCTCCCTCGCATTTCATCTACCGAAATCGGATACATGGGCATTCTTAGTTTATAATTACAATACAAAGAAAACCCTCATGATAATTATGAGCAATAGTTACATGAGTAAATGTCACATAACAGATCCCACAAAAAATAGCACAAAAATAGATATATAATTCAATTAAAAACCCAAGGGGTAAGTAAAATCAATAAAAAATGTATATATTAAAACAATTTTTTTTTTTTTTAAAAATTGTGGTCAGCACAGATTTTTGTGACGACTGAAAAAGGCGATTCAGTTCCGATTTCCACTAAAGTTTTCTGAACCATTTAAGTTCTCCTGAGCGAATCATAAACATTTAACGTAAATGTAAGTTTCAGAATCATTCACGGTTGCAAAATTTGGCTTCCCCGACGCGCACAAGCTGTCAACTTCGCAGTTTCTAGATTTTTCAAGAGGGAAAAAAATTAAATATAGCCGAAAAAAATATTTACAGAAATCAATGAAACCCCAACAAAAACATACGTTATACGTTATATCTAAACAACAAAGGAAAAAATTATCATATATATATATATATATATATATATATATAATATATATATATATATATATATATATATATAATATATATATATATATATATATATATATATATATATATATATATATATATATATATACATATATATATATATATATATATATATATACTCGTACCGAATAAGGCAAACCGGCAAGTTAGGCCTAAATAGCAAGGGGGTTTTCTGCCGAATAAGCAGTTATTTTTTTTTGCCATAAATCTGCTAAAATCAATCTGAACATAACAAATATATATAAAATCGATTTTGAGTAATATTAAATAAATTTAAAGTTACCGACGATGTACATATAGCAGAATTTAGCTGGAAAAAATTACGTTAGGTTAAGTTAGGTGAAATTTCTAAGTTAAGTTTAATCCGATTTTTTTACATAAGTGAAAAATGTATCTATCAATCAGTAAAAAAAAAATTGGAAAAGTTTAATTTTTAAGGAAGTTCTGCCTATTCGGCAAGTTCGACTTATTAGGCACGACATATATATATATATATATATATATATATATATATATATATATATATATATATATATATATATATATATATATTATATATATATATATATATATATATAAATCAATGTTAGTCAAACGAGGCCCACTTATAAACTATTTTTGAAACCTTAATCTTATATATTGACACATATATTCACGGAAATTAAAATGTACAGTTATTATACTTTGCAACAAAACTTGACAGCCCAGTCATTCTAAAGTTTGTCACATAATATACCTTAATCAAATTTAAGATCAGCTTTAATTTATATATGGCAAAATATTTAATAATCTGGTGAAAAAAGAGCAGTACACCTGCAACAATGGATCTATTAGACACAGCTGAGACCAATGTCTTTTTAGTTAATGTTTCGCTCTCCAATTTTGGCCTAATCAGACATCCCTAGCTATTCTCAAATGCTTTTGCCACCCATTTTTTATATATATTTCTGAGTGTTTTGACTGTGTGTGTGTGTTTTTGACTGTGTGATATATATATATATATATATATATATATATTTATATATATATATATATATATATATTATATATATATATATATATATATATAAGCTTTTTCTAAAACATTGAAAGTAACATTAATTTGCAAATGTTAATTTCAATATTACAACTGGAATTTATTCTTAACATCACTAGCATCATGGTGTACTTTGAAATCAGTCATCGTGAAGTGACATCACATAGATTCATGAGCCGATTCCTACATCACTGACACACTGGTTATCTCCTGAGTTTCCCAGCTAATTGATGTTTGCCACATTGCTGTCATTCCTGGAGTCCCGTTGATTTTTCTGTTGCGCCGCAACAGTAGTTCGACAATAGAACAAGAAATTGTTCTTACTCAGCCATATCATACGTTATTTGTATATTTCTTTGTACAAAATGTGTTTAATAAATTATTAAAGTGAAAAAAAAAGAAATTTGGTGTTATCCTTAATTTTTTCTGTTGAGAATAAACCACATGTGAAAGAACGTGTTTCAGAAGTAGTGCAAGGTTCACAGAGTAGGAAGCAAGGTTCGATTCAGAAGGAAGCAGGGTTCGATTCACAGGCAAGACAAGTCTTAATACTCCCGTGACCCCCCTGTCACAGGTACCAGTAAACTGGTACCTGGGTGTTAGCCCACGTTTGTGGGTCGCATCCTGGGAGTGGTAGATAACCTAAACTACCGTCAGGCTTTGAAATGAGCTGAAATGGGAAAATATTTTTGTGTCGGTGAATGAGCTCAGGCAGGATAACAGTTTACCTGAAAATGAGTTGAAATATGATAACTTCTCTTAGTCTGTAAATTAGCAGATTTAGGATAATTCTTTGCCTGTAAATGACCTGTAAACGATGAGGAAGGATAAGAGAAGTTTGCTTTAAAGTTGATAATGGATAACGGCAGTTTGCCTGTAAACCAGCTGGAGTAGGATAACTGCCTCTACACAAGCTGGAGTAGGATAACTGCCTCTAAACGAGAGGAAGAAGGATAACTGCCTCTAAACGTCCACACCAGGTCTGCTACACAGTACCACACCAGTTCTGGCCTGGACGACCATACCAATCGTCTAGGCCTCAATGGGTCTTGACGCAACGAGGAAACCAAACCTGCTCGCCAAAACCACAATGCACCGAACCTCACGACCATACCAAGATCCCTCCAGATATAGTCGTAAAAAGCACCATGGATCTACCAGCCAAGATCACGTCAGACCTGGTGGCCAAGCTCACACCCGACCTGGTGGCCAAGATTATACCAGACCTGGTGGCCAATATTACAACAGACCTGGTGGCCAATATTACACCAGACCCGGTGGCCAAGATTACATCAGACCTGGTGGCCAAGATTGCACCAGACTTGGTGGCCAAGATCACACCAGACGTGGTGGCCAAGATCACACACCAAACCTCTTGAGATCCCACTAATCGTTGTCAAGACTGGTCGTCAGTCATATAACTCCTCCACAGTGATCTTAAAGAAAGGGGATCACTGGAAAAAACAGTGATTTAACAAATGTGTTTAAACTAATCACATGATGACAAACACTAGGTTAGTATTATAGTCAGCAGGGAAGCTCTATGCCCGTAAGAGGTCAAACAATGCGCGTAGGGAATGGGTGGGAACTCGGGTCCAATTACAGGAAGGGGAGACCAGTCTCACTTCCTTGGATCAAGAGCCTCTCGCCCCCCCCCAAAATGGGAATAAGAATTTTCATCATAATCATGATTGGGCTATTTCAGTCCAGGGAGAAATGCTAATAAATTCTGGATGTGCTATAACTGTCTATGTATAATCCTATAACTTGTATAACCCCAAATATTGTTCTACCGGCAGTAAATACGGAAGAGGTTCAGCTGAGGGTGAGGTAGGAGGTCCTGCCTTCAGTTCTCACAAAAAAATGTATAGTTTATTGTTCTGAGCACTCGGCTGACAACCGAAAGGTCCTGGGATCGAATCGTAGGCAGAGACGGAGACTGACTGTCAAGTCGTCATATATATGTTGCCCCTCTCCTAGTGGTGGAGTTTTATTCGTCAGGAAACAGGATAAGCATCTCTTGGCACGTTGCGTGTTCAAGCATCTGCTGGCTTACCATAACTAAGTTACGTATAGCTTTTAAAAGGCAAAGAATCACTACAGAGTTGATTCTTGAAAGTTACAGGGATTGCCCCTGTCATCTAGCAGTAAATAGGTACTCGGGTGTCAAGTGCCGTAGGTGGCATTTTGGAGTGTGTTAAACCATAGTTTATAATGACTTTGCTCTGGAATGAGCTAAGGTAAACAGCTCTCAACTTGTAGAAAAAAAAGAGGGTAACATGAGAATCAAGGATGAGCGAGAGGTGGTGATCTCCACACTGACCTTGGCTACTGAAGCAGTGTTAAAATATCAGGAACACCAGAGGTATTTCTCAGGGTGGCTGTGTTCGTCCTTCCAATACTTTATCACATTACAGCGGTTGGTGATTTATCAGGTTACAATGGTGGCTGTGGTGGTTTATTGACATTGGTGGTGACTCGTCACGTTACGGTGGTGTGGCTGGCAGACATTAAATAGCGTAGGTATTAATCATAAAGACGTTTCATGCATCTGTTATTTACTTGGGCAAAAGTTTAGCCACGAGAGTAGAGATTCTGTCTTGTTATTAACTTGTGTAGGATCGAGCCTTCAACACTCATTAACCTGAATGATTTATACGGGTTTCAAACTGCATTATAGATACAACATTTGGCATTTATTGGTCATCTCATTGTTTTTTCTGTCTGCACCGCTGTTAGAATAGGCAGAAAAATTAGTCTGCACTCTCACCACTACCCTGCACTCTCACCACTACCCTGCACTCTCACCACTACCCTGCACTCTCACCACTACCCTGCACTCTCACCACTACCCTGTACTGTCACAAAGTTAAGATATTCTTTATCGCCTTCCTAACATCCCAATATCGAGGCTTCAGTACTGAATGCGGGATCTAAAACTTCTTGGTGCCTTCAAGACTGATGTTCAGAAGCTTATTTCACTGCACCAGGCACATCCATCTCATTAAAATTGTGAAGACTATATATTTACAGATGAGATGTAAACATGCCCTTTAATACTGTTAAATAAATTAGTTTACTATGGTAATTGTTATTTGTGAAATAAATACCATTGTTTATAGTGGCAGATTATCTGTTTAAGATTTGCAATAAGCCTAATACCAATAAAGAGGTGTGTTCGTATGTGTGTGAATGGGGGTGCTAGGGATGTGGCCAGGCAACCATGGGGGCGGTAGCCTGAAAAAATCTGGGAACCAATGATATACAGTAATGTGATAGTAAGATATCCACCACACACTATATAACAGTTATTACCACAGAGATTGCAAGGATACATCGCATCTAAATGCGGCTCATTCTAGAGATGCAATAACTGGTTCACAGTCCTTTTACGAAATAAATTAGTTTCACCGTAAACTCTGCTAATCCTCGATCTTGTCGCCGGAAATTTAGAACATTATTCGGCAGAGTAACTTCACAGGTAAACTAATGGATAACTATTATTGCAAGCTATATTTTATATATTTTCCCGTCTGAAATAGTCGTGTGTGGAGATGTGTCCGTGTACGTACGCGTAGGCAATAGCGTACGTGCATGCACGTACCTGTGGATGTGCACGTAGTGTGCGCATCTGCGAAGGCCAACGCTGTTAAGTGTGCACATAAATTTTATTGCTGGGGAATATATTGAACATCGTCTGTGTTTCTTGTTGCCCAACACCTCGTCTGTTTGTCAGTGTTTGTTACATCCTGCCTTGTTCCATCCTGCCTTGTTCCATCAGTGTTTGTTACATCCTGCCTTGTTCCATCAGTGTTTGTTACATCCTGCCTTGTTCCATCAGTGTTTGTTACATCCTGCCTTGTTCCATCAGTGTTTGTTACATCCTGCATTGTTCCATCAGTGTTTGTTACATCCTGCCTTGTTCCA